TGGCTCCTTCCAAGGCTCTGAGAGAGGCCTGAGCAATGGCAGATTTTTATTAAATGTCAGAAGTAAAATACTTTAACCATTATTGGCAAAGACCACAGTCTCTTTGCCCTCCAATTCACCTCCTTCAAACTCTCCCTCGTGCTGGAGATATTGGGGAAGCTATAGGTATTTTTGTTGATCTGGCTAAGGGGAAGTTGAAATGGAGACACTTTTAGCTCGGGTTTAGTGAGTCATATAGATATATCTGGATCAGTCATTTCAGTGTGGGGCTGTTAATTCGAGTTGTCCCAATGTAAGAATTGGTTCTAGGAATATTTCCACTGCCCAAAAGGCCAATTCGCCAGCATCATGTCACAAAGATGTAAGGTTAGAGACTGTTTCATAACACATGTGTGTTCTGAGGCACTCAGCACTGGAAATACATGCTAAGGGAAAAATAGAATAATCTTTTTATTCTCTCCATAGAAGATAATATTGCAAAAATCATTGTTATATGAGGAGGAAATCAGAAATACAGTCCAAAAAATTTAGGAAAAAAAGTTAAATAGGGTTTTGTCAGATAATTAATTAATAAACATTTATTTACTTGGATTTTATGGTGTTTATGATTTTTTCGAGCTTTAAAAATTTTATTGTGATTTCTTTGCTGATTTTAAATAAGTGTTCACTTTCATAACTAATTTTGCATCTCTAGTTTTATATTCTTATCTTAAAGAAGGGTCCTATATTATATAAGTTTCAGTTCTCTTAAAACCTAGATCTGGCCCTGACCCTTGACTTCAGCATTGCTCAATATTTAACAGATGAAGAAACTGAGGCCTAATATCACATAGTTTTACAGCGGTACTGAACTAAACCCTAGGTTTTCTGACTTTCTGTTCATTGCTATTTCTACTACCCACATTATCTTACTTTTGAGAAGAACCTCGAAATACAGAATTTCTTATATGCTAGGCATTGTTTTAAAGTGTTTACGGATAACTCATTTAATCCTCAAATGACTCTATGACTAAGATAATATTAATAGCCTCATTTTTTTAGCCATCCCTATACAGAAGATCCTTTTCTTTTACTTTTTACTATTTTTAAAGATTTTTAAATTTTATTGTATTGTATTTACTTTATATTAGTTTCAGGTATACAGTACAATGGTTAGACATTTATATAATTTATAGCTATCCCCCAGATTACTCTAGCACCCATCTGGCACTACACACATTGACTATATTCCCTATTCTGTACTCTCCATACCATGACTGTTTTGTAACTACTAATTTGTATTTCTTTATCCCTTCGCCTTTTTCACCCAGCCTCCCAACTCCCCTCCCCTCTGGCAATTACCAGTTTGTTCTCTGTATCTGTGAGTCCGTTTTCTTTTAGTTTGTTCATTTCTTTTGTTCCTTAAATTCCGCATACATGAGAAATCATAAAATAACCTCACTTTTTAGATAATGAAAATTGATACTCAGAAACATTAAGTAAGTAGATCCAAGGTCACATAGTATGCAGAAAGTATAAAATCTTTCGTAGTGTGGCAGCTAGCAGCAAACATTTTTTCAGGGCTTACAATGTTTTAGTAACTTTGTTGAGAACTATAGTATTTTATCCTATTTGATCTTTAAAATCACCCTTTAAGATAAGTAGCATTATTACTCCATTTTACAGATGAGGAAACTGAAGTGTAAAGAAATTAAGTAATTCATCCAAGGTCATATATCTAGTAAAAGACAAAGTCAATACTCAGATCCATGTCTGACTCCAGAGCCAGGGCTCTTAGTCTCTACATGATAATGCCAATTAAAGAAAATATCCTCAATGTCCTTCCACTATTGCCACATTCTCTGTGGTCCCTTTCTCCTAAAACTACAATTAGAATGAAGATGTGGACAGAGTTAGAATAAGGAGTGGGGTTAGCAGCATAAAGAACATAGTAGTCCCTTCTTAGACAATTGTTCTTCCCATTGTAGGGGATATATATATATTGTAACTGAATGAATACTGCCATGTGAAGTTGCCTTCAGTGCTATCATAAAAGCCATTTTCCAGTTTCATGACCTGTGCCTATAATCAGGAGCTCTGATAAGCTTTGCCTTCCTTATTGCTCTTCGTTTCAACGTTCACATTATGATTCTTCTTAGGTATCTCCCATTGTGTACACACACACACACACACACACACACACACACGTCAGGATATCTAGCTATATACATCATGATATTCCTTGCATCTTTCCCCTGTCCTCAACTTCTGTTAAGCCTAAAGATGACAAGTTTATTTTTTATTTCATCTTCTATGATAAAGTTGTGACAATCAGCAGATCAGTAATTTAGATGCTAGAGAAAGTTTATTGAGGTGGAAAATTCCTACCAATGTCGTGTCAAGGAGATAATGTAAATAAAGTGGCAAAATGGAACCCACAAGGAGTGACATACACCTTGGTAAACTAGATAGTATGTGTCCAAACCCGAATAGCAGGTACTGGGCTTTAATAGATGGTTGCCATGCGGCAGCGTGAGCCTAGTGTGACCAGATCTTATAACTTTTCAAAAGAAACTAGAAATCTAGATTTTTGGTGTAAAATCGACTAAATTGTAAATTTTTTAAATTCCAATTTTTTAAAGCACTTTGCTGGCTAACATCGTACAGGCTAACAAACAACAAACTTCACCTCTGTAGGCCTCTCATTCATAGCCTACTTTATATGGGGTTAAATGCAGGAAGCTCTGAAATAGGAAGTTAAAGACTGACAGAAATTTAGATCTTGGTGGAATATTTGTTCTTTGAAAAATGAGCTTTGGTAAGAATAATTTTCTTGGTAGAGGTGGGTGATTGAGAGGGTAGGATGGGAATGGCACTAAAGCAGAGTGGCCTTTCTTGTAAAAGATCCTCTTAATATGTCTTTTGGAGTAGTCCTGGTCTTGGGCCCTAGCAAAAAAGAGCAGGAATCTAATTAACAGCTCAAAGGGAGCAATCAATTTACAATTGTGTGAAGTGCAAATTCCTTTGTGTTCCAAACAAATTACAGTATTTGCAAATTTGTAAATAATGCAGCACTTCTGCAGTCCAAGTGCTTTGGGTGCCAGGGGAGTGAGAAAAAAGAAGTCTGAGGAGGCAAAATGTTAGAAAATGACCTATTGTCTCAAGAAATGGAATTTAAAAAATATCTTTAGTAATTGATTTCTTTCAATTGAATCCTTATTTAGGAACTATAAAGGAGCCCAGTTCTTAGGTCAGTAGAAGAAAGATAACTAGAGAAGTAAACAATTTCAAGTCCAAAAGTCGCAGCATGTTATTAACAGGGTAACTTCGTTCAATACTGCTGAACATAAAAATTTGCCCCAACCCTCACTACACCCTTGGTTTGTGGCAAAAACTTTTATTTTATACAAGAGATAGCAAACCCTGGCCATAATCATTATTATGTTCAATGTCAGAGAAGGAATTGGTGACAGAAAAGGACATAAATCCAATCTGTCTGTTTCACAGCAATCATTTTTTTTTAACCATTCAATTCACAACTATTAGAGCCCTTTTATAAGATCCTGTAGCTATTATTAGAGAATGTATAGTGTATTTAGAAAAGTAAGAGCAAAAATATTATTTTCTCCAAGATTTTTTGAGCACTTCTCTGTGAGTTGAGCTAGGAATTGAGAACACAGTGAATGTAACTCCATTCATGCCCTCAAGGGGTTCACAACCTAATGAGAAAAATAGAATTCAAACCATCTTTGAAAACTGAGCTTGATGGTAAAGAAAGGTATAAGAGAGGCACCATGGACAACTTGACAAGCACTTGACTCAACTAGGTCTTTCAACAGAAGAAAATCACCAGGCAGAAGGCATTAAAAGTAGAGGTAACAAGACTATTGATGGGCCTTCTGTAAGAGAATGACAGATTAGATTTGTTCTTTCAAATGCTCCTGCATTCTCATTCACTATGAGATGAGTGCAAATGGGCTAAACCTTTCCACAAAATATTTTAGCAAATTACAGCAAGAGCCTTAAAACAGATTCATACCCTTTCGTTAGAAATTCCATATTTAGAAAACAGAGATACTGCCAGAAACTTATAGATGAGGAAGCTTATCAAAGCATCATTTATAACCACACCCACCCACCCCCACACACACACCTGGAAAAAACCTACATTTTCAATAATGGAGTAATAAGTAAATAAGTTATGGTACATCAAAGCCATGTGATTTTTATGAACTACTTGTAAAAAAATTTTAAAGAATATTTCAAAACAAGCAAAACTGATTTCTGAAAATAATGTAAAATGTTTAATATCATTCTAACTTTGTAACAAAAAAATTCAAAAGTAGTTCTCAACATTGGTTTTAATTTAATTTACACCCATATCCTACATTTGTAAAGTTCTTTCTTGTTTTAGACATACCAGACAACAAGAGCTGGAGTTTCTCCTTGCTCTGTGTGCAATAAAAAGAATTGGCTTTGTTTCCAACTCTCGTAACAGTGTAAGGAATAGACCGAAGAAATAAAATGGAGTCACTATAGCCAAGCTGTTGAATTGCTAAAACCAAGTAGGCTGAGGTATGAGGAAATAATTCTGTTCCTATTCTAAATAGCTTGGGAACTTAAACTTTTCTGAACTTTCCAGTCCTGCATCAATGCCTGGATATATACCAGACCTCCAGATAATCCTCTGATTACCCTCCCTGAGAGACTAAGAAAAGAATGTTCATGTATCTAGACCACCTGACATCCAGTATCCAGAACACTGGTCATCTAGAGGATTACCATCTTGCATCAATCCAGAGGCTAAGATTGCAGGACTGATTCTTCTCAAGAATGTACTTTTTATCATAAGAACCTTCAGCTTTTCTTCTTCAGAAAACTCTAGGTATTGTCTATTTGTGTTTTCAGTTTGCAAATCCTAAAACCCTTGAATAAATCTTTATAATTTATATCTAGCAAAGTCTCCAGACTCTTTTTGAAGTGATCCGACAAGCATGATCCAGGATTTGCAAGTCACTTACCCTCTAAGTCCCATTCTCTTGATGATATCCAGGCTGGCTAGGAAAGGAAGGGTGGCCAGGTGAGGAATGGAAGAAAACAGCAGTCCAGAAGCTGAAAATTACCATAAAAGTGGAAAACAAGTAAGATAAGAGTGAGGGTGTAAGAACCAGAAGAAAGGGGGGTTTGCTATGTTTTGAGAATGAGTTACTGGATTGAAGATTTCAGGGTTGGAACATAAACACATATATTACAGTTCAATATAAGAAATGTCTCAGTGCAGTATATGGTTAACTGCCAAACAAATGGCATTATAGATAATTAATGTTATAAAAACTTGGAGGCATTTGGTGGAGAGAGCCATCATTAGGTCACACATGTTATCTAACCATGTATCGACGAAAATATTCCTCTGAAACCTCCTTTCAGGATTCTTTGTTAGAGGGTATAATTGCATAGCGATGAACTCTCTTGGCCATTCTTTCTGGGAAATTTAGTTATTGAAGAACTTAAAGGGCTTCATTGTTAGATGTTAGCTATTACGTAAAAGGTTATAAAAAGAATAGAAAATAATTTGTTAAAATACTATTTGACAAAATTCAATCCCTGCACAAAAGTTTACTTCAAACTTCAATTTCTTCTTTCCTTTAAAGAATATTCACATAAAATCTGCTTTACAAGACAGAACCAGCTAGGAATATAGCCCAAGAAATTTACCACGAAATGGAGACACATATGTGTTTCAGTTCTAGAAAAACTGTGCCTTGCTACTTTTCTTCCTGAATTTCTTGGTTCTCTGCATTGAGGAGCATGTGGTAATTTCTCCTTCTGCTGAACTTTCTTGCTTTTACAGTTTCTCCTAACTGAATGTTAAGCACCTTCCCCACATCACTGCTGTTCTAGGCTATATATGTCTACACAGCATTAAGCAACCTTTAGCTGTCACTAGTTTAATGGATCAACACGTTTACCCAACGACATAACTTAGACCCTTTTGGGGATTTTCCAGTCTATTTTAATCTTATTTAAACCCGACACTGGCAGATTTCCATTTCCTTTGTTCCTTGTGTAGACTTGGTTTATGCCTGCTGGTCTCTAAAAGGAACAGAGAAGAGGCAGCTGTTGAAAAATGAGGAGATTGGCAGTTTTAACCACACAATTTGGTCTAATAGCTCTGATGTGCTAAACTTGCTAGCTCCTCCCAGTGTACCTTTCTGATTTTGCATCACACCACCACTGAATCCCAAAGGAAACCAGGGTGTTTTTTTTTTTTTTTAATTAAAAAGAAAAGAAAGAAATGCAAACCAGTGAAACCGTTCTTTTAAATCATCTCCACAGATTCATTCTGAGAACTGCAGACCTTCACAAATCTTTGTACACTAGAGACCTTTAAAAAAGGAGAAGCCGAGAACACTGATCGTGTTCTGAAGAGCGAAAACAGGTGATGTCATAACGCACAGTACTGTGTGGTCACAGCCGAGGCCGGGCGGGGAGCTGGGGCTCCAGCGAGCACAGAGCTCGGCGTCAGTGGGTGAAGCAAGTTATCTCCGGGGCCCCGAGGACACCGGTGAGGACTGTGCACCAATCAGGTTCTCGCTCGGCGCCTGCCTTTGTTCTCACTGGGGAGCAGGTTTCTTGGCGTTTGGCGTCAGGAACCAGCATTCGACCCACACGCAAGTCGCAGGCCCCTTCTGGAGACCTGGCTCCCCGACTCTCCTTGTCTCCCTCACACCCAGCCAGCCAGAGCTTTCTCCCAGTTACATCTGCCTCCTCTCTTCGGAGCGTGAACGCAAAAATCCTGACTCACCCTTTTCAGCTTTGGAGAAGCTGGTCCAGCTCAGTTTTAAAAGGCAGTATGTTCTCTGAACTTTCCTTCCCAAGCAGGGCTGTGTTCTGCGTGTGTCTGACCAGCTGCCTCAGAAAGGACGTTTGGGTGAGAAAACAGTCCTGTCTCTTTGGTCCTTCAGTGCTGGACAAATAAAAAAACTTTCATTACTGAGAGGACTGCGAGAATGGAGAGCAAACTGCGAAACCAGAGATTTTGTTTTCTCACCACAACTCGATGAATGGTGTAAACATACCTCAAACATCTATCCTCTACTCTCCGCCCAAGCCTCAGATAACTAACTGGTCTTTTGCAAAATGCAGCTCACGATAAATGATGCATAAAGTTCTTAGAGATCCTTGGATGCAAAGTGCTACGTAACTGCAGTCTTTACAGCTAACCTAAGATTTGGGCAGAGAGAAAGCCTAACCATTGCCGTGATGCTATGAACGTTTTAGCTCCTCGCCCCCGCCACCTCCCCAACCTTTCTCAAAAAAATCAGGAAATATTTAGCTCAGTCTTAGACCCACTAGCGAGCTACAGCTCCCAACTATTTATTTCACTCCCTCTCCATTTCTGCAGGGACCTAGAAAAGGGGCCGTGGCTTGCCTTAGGGGAGGGGCTGGGCTTCCCAGGATAATTTGCATACGACACACCCTCTTCCTCCTATTGGCGGAGCAGCACCAACTGTATTCCCTCCCACCCCACTACCTAACTAACCCGCCATATCCCTGCAGTTCGGTGCCTGGGAGATAAACTTAACTTGCCCGGAGATTCAAGGCGTCCTCTGCCTCTGTGATTGGCCGGCGCAGCTCCCAGCCGAGCTCTAGTTGCTCATTGGCGGCGGACTAGCGCCCGGAGGCGTGGCTGGAGCTGTCCGATTGGCGGGAGGGGGCGGTCCGGGAGCGTGAAGGTGGTGTAGGTGGTGGGAGGCGGAGGCGGGCACTGAGGC